CTGAATGCTGAGAGCTGAATGACTGCTGAAAATAGATGAAATTCTAGTTAAAAGCTAAAAGTAGCACAAGCTTAACTGGGAGCTAAAATAACAAAAGGCTCATAAAACGCTAAAAGTAAAAATAGGTTTGCTTATTACTAAAAGTTTCAAAAGGCTAGCTAAAAACTAAAAGAAGCAAAAGGCTAGTTAAAATCTAAGACTAGCAATGAATATGTTAAAAGCTGAAGGTAACAAAAGGTTAGGTAAAAGTAGCAAAATGCTAGCTAAAATCTAAAAGAAGCAAAAGGCTAGCTAAAAACTAAAACTGGCAATGGATTTGTTAAAAGCTGAAGGTAACAAAATGATAATTAAAAGTAGCAAAAGGCTAGCTACAAGCTAACAGAAACACAATCTATCTAGAAACTAACAGTTGCAAAAGGTTAGCTAGAAGCTAAAGTAGTAAAAGTTAGCTAGAAGCTAAAAGTAGGAAAAGGCTAGAGAGAAGCAAAAGTAGCAAATAACTAGAAGTTGAAAGCAAGATGCTAGCTATAAGATAAAGTAGCAAAAGTTAGCTAGAAGTAGCAGAAGACTAGACAGACGTTAAAGTAACAAACATTAGCTAGAGGCTCAAAGTAGCTGAATTAACTGAAAGGATCTCGCTGTATTTCTATGAGGAAATTTTTGTAAATKAAGTTAATTAACAGSTCTCTCTTGGAAATGAGATTCTGGRTCTCAAAGCGACTTCCTGTATAAATAAAAGTCAAATAAAATAAAATAAAAATAATTTTTTTTTAAAAGTATGAACATTTTAAAGTAGGCAGGGCTTTTCTTGATTTATGAAATATTTCTGATTGGTTTATAGAACTGATGTGACACAGCTCACTGAGTTTTTACTAAATCTGCTTTCTGGACTTGTCTTCTGGAACACTCCAGCAACTGCCTGATAACACCATGTCTCCACTCCTGTCTTCTGTGGTTCTGGTCCTGCATGTGGACCATGCAGTGGTCCTGCTTTCAGAATAAAAGCGCTGCTCCTCAGAGCTGGGTTATTATTAAGGTCAGTCTCTCTAATTATTCACATTTAGTTGACAAAAGGCTCCTGGAGGTTCTGAAGCAGGGAACAAAAAGCTTTGTTGGAGGTGTCAGCTGCTGCCTCAATCTGCAGCCTAAAATTAGGAGCTGTGTTCAGAAAATCACCGTTCTGAAAAACCGAAAGAAGCAAAGACAAAACGGCTCCAGATAAAGTGTTTCTACCTGCTTCACCTCATCTTTTCTTCAGAAGAATGGATGTAAAACAAAAAGTTTTGTTCTGTGGTCACATTCAGCAGGACGTTTTCAGCTTCTGCAGGAAGAGGAGAAAGTTTCTCAGAGTCAGTGATGAAAATGCTTCTTCAGAGGTGCAGAAACACCTGAGAGAGACTCCGCCTCCTCCTGTCCATCTCTGACACATCATCAATCAGCTGATCTGCTCCCAACTCCAGAAACCAGCCGAAGCAGGATGAATGTTTCCTCTGCAGCTGTTTGTTTCTGCTTCATTACAACCAATTAAACGCTTCTTTAAGCAGCGAAAACACAAACTTTGTTTCCACAACACTTTAAATCAGATTAAACACGCMTCGGTGAGGAAGAAATAATTAAAACGACTTGTTTTAATTCCTCAAATCATCGTTCAGACAGGAGAACTGATCMCTTCCTCTGACACGACTTTATTCCCTCTGGTCCAACGACACAACAGGAAACATCAACACGAGAAATAAAGACAAACTCTTATCGTAAACAAGACAACAGCTTCAACAGACAACCAACTAAAGTGACAGAAAAACAACAACAAAGACTGAAACAAACTGATAAGTCATGCATTGCATCTACCACCCTTTCAAAATAAAAGCATGATATGTTAAAAGATAATGATAGATAATGTTTTGGGACTCAATATCTGTAAAAAAAATCTAACATTTTTCTTTTCCTGACTCTTCACACCCCAACGTCTACGATGTCTGGTGATTCTCCTCCCTCAGTAAATCTACTTCCTGTTAGCATTAGCCACAGCTAGCTGTCCTTCAGGTGATGATGCTCGGAGCAGAAGACAAACGAGCGGAGCAGCTYCACATCATCATGTTTTATTACAGAACATCAGTGATTCTTTCTGCTCGCTGCGTTTATTGAAAGGAACGCTGTGGCTCCGCCTCCACCACCACCTGCTCCGCCCCCCACCTGCTCCGCCCCCCCACCTGCTCCTCTCCAGCTCCGTCCCTGCAGGAGGATCGGGGTTCCCGTCAGCAGCTGCTGTGGATGAGAGGCCGGGCTAAACGGTGCGGCTGTAAACCGTAAACAACTCGGACAGAACATCAATATTCATCCGCGGCCCAGTTAATGTCAGAGCGGCTGCTGAAAATTTAATCACGCCTGTAGCAGCCCCCCAACCCCCCCGGCACCATCCGTCATGTTGGGCTTCCTGGTGAACACGTGTGAGGCTCTGAGCRTGCTCCATGAGGCCAGGCAGAGGACCCTGACAGGACCACCCAGGAGGCAGGAGGCAGGGTTAAAAACCTCAGAGGCCCAAATTACAGTGTGACGCTTCACAGCATCATCAGTATCAGTTTGTTAATTTTAGCTTTTTTCTGCTTTTTCAGCAAAAATTCATCTTCTTTCTGTTATTATTCTGCTCTTTTCTAATTGTTTTGTTCTCCTTTCTGCTAATTTTAGCTATTTATGCTCAAACAGTTGTTT